TACTTATTCTGCTCCAGTAATTAACTACTCAGCACAGAACACGATTCCTGCCCTGAAGTTGTTTCCACTTGAGCTATAGACAGGAGCTTAACACGCCTGAAAGATTTCTGTATTTTATCCAGATTTTAAGTAACTAGAAAGAGACCTAGTTGATGTCTTCTGCACACTGGTGCATTCCTGCCAGGCTTATTTGTACCTTACATTACAGAAGAAAATTTTAATCTGAAAATTGGCTCTTAAATTTAAAATCCTGTTTTCCAGTTTGTTTCATTGCAAAGTGGAAGATCTATCACTAGAGAAAGCATTGTTTCCAAGCTGTAACAATTATACAGGTCTGTGTATGAACAGATGCGCTTTAAAACAGCTGGGCAAGAGGAGTGGGCGGGGCTTATTTTAGTTTTTGCTTTTCTGGACACTGCAAAATTCCTGTAACGCAACGGCCTTCACGCATTATTGCTGTGAAAATTCATTTTTTAAGCTGACATCTAATTTTTCTTCATAAATTCAAACAGTTGCAAATAATACAAATTTAATTTCTGGGAACACTATAAATTGCTTTTAAAGACAAAACTCTTTTATCATTCTGTTAAATGTATCCCATAGAATCGATACAAAATTAGAGATAAATCAAAAACATTGAAACTAATTGTTTTTAAACTCCTATGATTACAAGGTGTTAGAAAATGTTACGTATTTTTTCAATGAGTTCGTTTATCCAAGGGTGAGTACTGAATACTGCCAGAACAGGACACACCTTGCCATCAGTTCTATTCCTCTTTTTCATTTTTTACCTGTCTACTGAGAAAGAAATCTTGTCTACCTGTATTTGTACATAGAATGAATTATTTTCTACAATGTCATTCAGTTCTTTGATCTTCAGAGTTATATGCCCAAAATCAAATAGTGATCATCAAAAAAATATTTTTAATCATCTGTCAGCTAACAACTCAATTTTGTGAAAAGCCAAACTGGAAACAAACTGACTTGCAAAATGTGTCACTTCATTTTACATCAGTCGTTCTTTCCTCGTTTCTGGAAGCACACCAAAACGGCTTTACCAAGACTGACTGACTAGGCTGGTAATGCCAGCACTTCGGGAGGCTGAGGCGGGAGGATCACTCGAGCCCAGGAGTTTGAGACCAGCCTGAGCAGCATAATGAGAAACGAGACCCCGTCTCTGTAAAAAATTTAAAAATTAGCCAGGCATGGTGGCGTATGCCCACAGTCCCAGCTACTCAGGAGGCTGAGGGCCAGAGGAGCGACTGAGCCCAGGAGTTGGAGGTTACGGTGAGCTGTGATTGTGATGGTGCCGCTGCAGTCCAGCCTGGGTGAGAGAGCGAGACCTTATCTCAAGAAAATAAAAAATAAAAAGACTTAACTAAATGCACTCTCATTCTTTCACTTTAAACCAATTTGTTTATTCCTAATAGAATGAGTTGGCAAAATTGAAATATTAATTCTAATACAACTTTGTCCACTTAATTTTTAATGAAATGTTTTAAATGTATTTTCATTAAATTTTAGGTGGCAGATTTAGCTTATTCAAATTATAAAAGCTTGCATTGCATTATGCAGACCTCTCCCTACTTCAAAAATGTGAGCAACTTGACTTTCGTCTCTACACGGCTGGCGGCAGCAATTCCCAACCACGACCCGGAAATCAGCTTCTCTGCTCCCACGTGGCGGGTCCGTCCCTGTGCTCCGCACACCCCTGGTGGGGACTGAGCTATGAAGCAGTGAAGCCACCAAAACTGCCTCTGACGGCCGCCAAGTGTTCCATCAGGTAAGTGAGCCGCCTTGTCCTTGTTAGAGTCTGACTAGGAGCTGGAAGGCGCCGTGCGTGCGGCCAGGGCCTGCTGCCACTGAGGCCTGCTGGCCGCCCCGCCCCTGTGCCGCACAGCGGGCTCCGCCTCGCACACGGCCCTACGCTCGGGGTGAACATTTATCCGTGCAAACACGGGGGGGGCCAAGGGAAAGCCGGAAAACAAAAAAAAAAAACAAAAACCCGGGGATCCTCAATAAAGTTAAAAAGGAACCAAACAATGGCAAACCCCAACAACGAAAAGGCATAGTCCCTGCAATACCCAAAGAAGTCCTACAAATCAATCAGGAAAACAACAGGCCTTAGCAAAATGGGCAAAGGACACACATAGTGCACAGGAAATTCAAAACACCTAAATATTTTAAATAATGCTCAGCCTTCTTCATGAGGGAAATGCAAATTAAAACAAGGACATTCTATGTTCTCTGTATGAAAGCGACAGAGATCGGGAAGCTCGGGCCCTGTGCTGGCGCGGGGTTCGGGTCCCTACATGCCCGCGCTGCCGCAGGAATCGCGAGCAGGAGACTCTAAGGAGAACACCTGGGCAGTATCTCCCACGAGTCCCCGTCCCAGCAATTACTCTTCCATACGTTTTTCTCAGTAGACCCACTTCTGTGCAAAATGACATAAACACAAACATTTACTGAGGAGCAGCTTGTAATAGTAAAGAAAAAACGAAACCACCCAAATATCTGTTAACAGAAGACTGATTAAACCCACGGTAGCATCTGTGCGAAGCAGTGCTAGCAGCCATCAGCGACACCCGGCAACCTGGTTCTGACGTGGAAAGATTTTCACAATACACTGCTGAGGGGAGGGAAAAGCCCCAGCGCGCCACACGCGGATGTAGCTGGCACGTGGCTCTGCTGCTGTGCAGAATCCGTCTGAAGGGACGCGCACGACCCCCTGTGGTGCCCTCTGGGAAGGCCTGGGTGTGAGCACCCCCTGGTGGGAGGGAGATCAATTTGTCACCTTGTGCCCTTTGTCCCTTTTGAATCTCGGACCATGGAAATGTTTTACTTAGCTAGCTAACAAAACGCAAGCAATTTTATTAGCACATTTCAAAATGCAATTAAGAAGGAACAGGTTGTCTCTGAAGGATGGAGTCGCAAGGGAGTTCAGTTTCAACATGATATATTGCTCATAAAATTTTAACCAAGACATACTTTATGATAATCAAGGGAAAATTAAAATATGAAAACATGCCTTTAAGGAAATTCTTTAAAATGTCATTGGTGAGTGGCAATTACTAAATGACGGCACACAAGGGAATTGCAGTGACTGTCTTGGAGGACGTCTACGATAATGAACTTTTCAAAAGGCTGTAAAATATTACGTGTAGCACGACCTCAGTTCCCAAAACCACAGTCAGCTCTGCACGTGCGCGTGCCCAAGTGCGCGTGCACATGGAAAAAGGCCAGCAGGACGCACCGCGCCGTCTCCAGCCTTAGAGAAGAAAATCTCAGGGACTGTCAGTAGCAGGGTGAGGGCTTCCCTTCTACACTGTATACACAACGCCATACATAATATTTGTGTGTCGTTTGAAAACAGCATGTGCAAGCCGTCTGTTTTAACTTTGAAAACATTAAACACCTTGAAATATTAAATGCTGCAGTTTCCAGATGGCAGAAATAGCCATCTGACGCTGACCACGGCAGCCTGCACGTGTCTGCAGCCTCGGGCTCCCCGGGTCTGCC